GCGGGCGCTGCTACTGGGGTGGGCGCATTGGCGGCGCGGGCGCCATGGAGACCCCCTGTCAGTCACCAGCTGGCTCTGCCAATCAAGGCTGCGACCAGAGCGCCTGGGCCATTTCAGCACCTCCCCACGCTCGACAGCGCCCGCCGTGCGCCAGTGGACTTTTCCTCAGGATTTTGCAGAACCTGGAGGATGAAAAGATGTGCCAGTGGCTGGGGGAAAAACGGAGACGAGAACTGCAGTGTTTCAAGCCCAGCCCTACCCCTTCCTCCTTTTTTCCCCACCGAAGAGGCAGTGAGGCTACAGGAATTCAATTTGGGGCGATGCTCTGCCTTGGTCGAGAGGTCTCTAGAGGACAAAGAGGGCTGGACCAAATTGAAATCCTCTGAGAATTCTCAAGTTTAGTAGTAATGAAAGAACAAACCTTGCGGGGAGCGCAAGGAGCGGAGAGGATGGAAAAGTGACCTGCTCATTTCTTCCAAACACTCATCCCTGCATGCCTCCCCTTTTCCAGCTGTCCAAATAGCTGAATGGAAAGCCAGTTTGGAGCAGAAGGAACAGGACCGGGGATCTGTGGAAGAGGTCAGTTTGAACGCTGTTCACATTGTCTTCAAAAGCTTCCGGAAATAATTTTAAATGCAAGCAGAGACATGCTCACACCTGGTAACACAGACTCTGACCACGGAAGCCAAACACTTGGAGAAAAGGGGCTATAGTGTGGCCTCTCACCCAAATAAAGATTAGACTTTTTTCTCTCTCCCCCAACACACACCAGTTTAATGGACTTGAATAAACGTGCAGCATAGCCACATCTAGAGTGAGAAGTCATTGGTAGGTCAGGACACCAACTTAAAAGCTTATTTTGAAGATCTTTTTAAAAAATATTGATCTGCTCCTCTTCTCATGGCGTATTTTGCCCCTACCCATGTTAGAATAGCTAACTCTTGAGCTGGGGCTAGAAACATTAACCTAGGCTTTTTATCCCCAAAGCAATTTAGTACAAGCACATTAGAGAGGGGCATCCACAATAGAGTCAAGGTTCTAGAAAGGCACTGACTGCTCCTGCAGAGAGGAAGAGCCTTCTTGGCGGCGGGGCCTTCCCCCTTCCCTCCAGTAGATTGAATTGGCAACTTTTATTGATTCCCAATTGACATCCACATCATACCATTTTCTGAGGCCTCCATCAAATAAGCCATAATCTCATCTTGGCCTTTGAAGGTGTTTGTTTCGTTTTAAGAAAATAATTGGTAGAGTGAGGGTGTCCAACCGAAACGCCAGGAAAACCACCTTTGGGAGACCCTTCCCTAGAAAAGAATCAGATGGGAACGCTCACCACCGAACTGGACTGGGCCCGGCTGTCTTTTCTTTAGTATCAAGTACAATTTGTATGCGGCTTGTACAGATCTGGTAAATCAGAAGGCAGATAGATAGCACAGATGGTTGGAGGTGTCGGGTCAGATCATGCTACGCCTGAGTGCAGGGCTAAGCTCGTTCTGACGGAAAACCCTGATATTATTTTCACAGATCTTCACAGTTCACTCGAAAAAAATAGAGAGGAAGAAAAAAGCCCTGCAACCATTTACATCATATTTTTTTTTTTTTGAGATTGCCAGCCAACCCATCAGAGAAGCTTTCTATTCTAAGAACTCTTTTTTTTTTTTGGAAATGCGACAGAGCAGGGGCAAAATAAAGAGGGCGATGAGGATAATGACAAAGCATAAACCTTCCCTAGCTTGGAGCGACTTTCAAATCAGCCAGAAGGACAACTTTTAGTGAGAAACACGTATCTAAGCTCAGGACAAGCAGGCGGAGGAGAATCCTAGGTACAGGAGACCCCGCGGGCTGTGGGGCCCATGTGGGCATGAAGCCTGACCCCCAAGAGAGCTGTCTCCCCGGAACTTATGGCCTGGGAAAGAAAGCAGCCACTTGCCCCAGTTGCAGAGATTTATTTATTTTCCCTCTCGGGATGACTCCCCTGATGAATCTTGCTTGCCCTTTGTGTGCAGAAGAGGCCTCTTCCCGGTCCCCGGAGACCTCACAGCCAGCGATTCCAGAGCAGACCCCAATCCTGAGCTTAGCGGCTGGAGGTGGCAGAGGTTGTCAGAGCCCCAATAGACCACGCCTCCTCCCTGGTCGTTTCGCTGCACGGTTTAAGCGGCAGATTGGGGGTAACTGGCTTCTTGCCCTTAGTCTTTGTGAGCAAGTCGTGTTAATTTTCCAAGTCTAGGCGCCCTGTCCAGGAAATAGGAATGTTTATCCTATAGCTCATTTCTTGGACACTAAATCTGCAGATATTGGAGAAGAGGGCGCTTTGACTTCTCCGTGTCTGAGGCTTATGGGTAACTGGGACCCAGAGTCGGAATCTATGGCTTTGGAACGGCCCAAAATGGATACCAGCCGCATGTGGCAGAGTCCAGAGTCCGAGTGTTGTCTGGAAGTCGGGATCTACTACCAGGAGATCCTCTCTTTGCCTCCACAAGGGACTTGATTTAATTTATTCAATCAAAGGAATTAAATTACCCTGGAACACCTTGGAATCACTTAACTTGCTCAATATGTTCACTCTGGGAAGGGACAGATAGGAAGAAATATGTGATAGCAGCCCCCATCCCTGGGAAAGAAAGAACCAGCGTGAAGTTTCTTAGAAATAGAAATGACTTTACACTTCCTCCTGGGTTTGCTAGGTGAAAGCTACACCTTTGGCTTGGTCTTTCTTAATTTAGCTGAAAGATTTTTTAAAACTAGCTGTGGGGTTTTTTGACAGCCCTCCAGGCAACACTCCCCCCCACCCACCCCAATTCCTCACCTAATACTTTTCTTTTACACTTGACTAGGGGAAAAAAAATGCAGCTTGGCCCTTGGCCTTGGGCCTGTCTAGGCAGCTTTGTAACTTTCTGTGGGTGGTTGGCAGCTAGTAGACTGGGATGCCACATCTTGGGCAAATGCTTGGTTCTCACCAGTAAACCATCTATGCCTATTCTATTTTCTCCAGAGTCAGTTGTGGTACGTATGGGGAAACAAAAAGCCTGTAAAAGATGATAATCACGTGCAGATTCTTTGTTGGTTTTAGGCAAAGTGCCCCCCAGGGAGTTGTGCAGTTCCTCCTAGAGTTCTTCAGAGTTCAGTTTGGGACTTCTACTGATTTGGGAATCTTGCTCCTGTTCTGCCCCTACTGAGTAGAAAGACATGCGGAACCTTGCTGAGCTGTAGTTCCTATTTGCCAGAAAAACAGTGTTTAGAAGTCAATCCGGTCTTGGGAACCAGCAGTTAGCGTAATGGCTATGTCGCTGGACTCCCACGTAGTCGACCGCGGTTCGTGTCCCGGACCCGGTGGCTTAAAACTCACGCCGGGCGCGTGTGAGTGCGTGCCCAAGATCCCGAGAGGAGAATGGAGGAGAAGGGATTGCAGCATGACCATCCCCCCTGGGGGGTGATTTCTCGCTTTCTGTCTCTATGTCTCTCTTTGTCTGTCTGGCGAGCGCACGCGCCCTACAGTGAAAATCTCTCCAAAAAAAAAAAAAAAAGTCAATCCGGTCTTATCGGATAAACTGGTAAACTGAGGCATAATTAAACTTTTGAAGAGTTTACCTGAGCAAATCACAGTTTATGATCTGGGCAGCTCCAAACCAGAAGTGGTTTGTGAGGTCCACCGAAGGAAATGGAAAGGAAGGCTTTTATAGCATAACCCAGAAAAGTAAAGCAAAGAAAACATTCGATTGGTTACAATTAAACTGTTCCCTTATTTGGTTTATCCTATTGGAAATTATATAATCCGAGGTTACATAATTATAAATTTGTTGGCTTCTTCTGATCGATTGAGTTTAAGTTATATTTTCTTTAATATAGACATTTACAAGACTAGTTCAAGTTAAGTTTTGCTTATGTTTGCAAATCAAGTAAGGTGTACAGCCCTTATGAGGCCTAACTGGTTTTGTCTGCTCAGGGATTCTTCAGGTCTGGTCTCTATTTTAATTTACTTTCACAGTTTCATTCTTGTCTTGCCTTATCTTTTCTCAAGTCAATGCCTTAAAAAAAATGATGGTGTGTTTTTGTATTCTTTACACCTGTTTTCATATAGTCAAGAGATTTTAAGAATGTAATTATTGAATCAATCTGAATTCCTTCATAAAGACATTTGTGCTGAGAGTCACAGACTGGAAGATAATGAGGCCTCATCTTTTGTGTGTGTTGATTTGGACTTTTGGGGGAAAGATCTTGGTTTCCCATTCCTGTCTTTCAAAGCTGAGTGTTAGAAGTGAGAGTTGGCTTTGTTTTTTTATATTTTTTTAAACAATATAAAAATAACCTATAAAATTTTAAAAGGCATATTACAGTCTTTGAGATGAGAGTGTTAATTCATACTCTCAAACATTTATTCATTAATTTAGTATTCTGATTTTCAGATGATACATGTGCATAAATATTAATGTATGTTTGTTTATGTATTTGGTGATCCAGATTTTCAGATTATGGAATCCATTCAGTATTCTATTTTTTAAAATACTAAGTATCTTAATAAATTCCTAAGGTAGATTGCTCTTTTTCATGTATTTCTCCCCTGCCAGGATGCACCTTAAAAGAACGAACAGAGAAACCTCTTCATTGTGTAGTCCTGATACCAAACACTGGTGAAATGTTTTGTGGATTTCTTAGTACTATGAAACTAATGAGGAAAATAGTATTAAAATATTGATATAATTTTAAGAGATTAGGATTTTTTATTATATTGCTATTA